ATTATTAATTATTACTTAAAGTGATTCCTGAATAGCATGGAACTTTGTGGTGACCAATTTTTTTAAAATGCTCTTTATTGAGAACTTCCTTATACATTATTCATTAAAACCTCCCCTATTACCTATTCAAATAATAATTTCTAAGGAGCAGACATTTGCTTTGCATGACTAAAAGAAAAAATTTCAAACTGTCATTATTTAGTTCTAGAACCCAATTAAGTATAGAAATGGGTTAATACAAAACATTAAGAACAACAAAAACATTAAGATTATAATCTGTGGCTAAATTCCCTGAACAACATTCTAACAATAAAATATACATATACCTTACCATCTGACCAATTAGAGTATTGGTTTTCTGTGTATTTCTTCTTGATGATGAATCCAAATCAACAAAAGACCAAAAACTGCACTGAACTGGAAATGTCATCTGTTGATCAATATCATCCCCAAACTTCTTTCCTGAGATATATACTGTGATGCTTCTGCTTTCCATAACTAAGTCAAAAGACATTACCCATTTGTTATTTAAGTTCATTTTGGTTTAAATATCTACAAATCAATAACAAATATTAGTATATAGAATTTTACTGTCTAAAATTTAGATAGTAAAGACACAAGTATATATGATTGTTTTGCAAGATATAAATTAGAGGATCTAACACAAAAAAAAACAAGGCAAGAAAAACATTTGAATGTTTACATGTCCCATAACTTGATGAAAACCAGCAGTCCAAAGCATGTAGCCAGAATTGTGGTCAGTGTCTGGGTGGAGTAGGCAGACAGTTAGGTTGGTTGTGAAGCGTAGGCTTACAAGGGAGGCTGAAATTTAGCAATGTTCTTTACGTGGAAAAAAATAATAGAAAGCAAACTATGTGGGAGTGAAGGAGGAAAAGACTGAGAGAGAATATAAACTACAATGACTAGGAAAAATATTCAATATGTACAGAACCAAATTCATCATTTCTCCTCCTCAAATGGCTCTGTGTGCATTCCTCGCAATTAGGGGTATTACCATCAATCTACCTAAAACCCAAACAAAAAATGTGGAAATATTCTATTCTCTTTCTTTCCTTCCTTCATTTCTTATAACCATTCAATTTATGAATCCAATCCTATTACTAGGATTCTATCTCCCAAATATTTCTCAAATTAGTCTTCTCTCCATTCATAACAGTCTTTCTTTACATGTTTATATTTTTCTTGAGTCATGGGGTAAATATATATTTAACTCTATAGAAACTGCCAGAGCAGTTTGTAAAATGGTGTACTATTTTATATTCTCATTAACAATATATGAGAATTTCAGTTTCTTCACATCCTTGGCAACATTAGTGGTTTTCAATCTCTTTAATTTTTGTTATTCTGGTAGCTTGGGACAACTACATAATTTGTGCAGGTTACCATAAAATGAAAATGTGGACTTCTTATTCAAAAATAAATGGAAAAATGCTGCTAAGAGTACTACTACATAAAGCTTTTTCCTTTAAAAATGTTATTACTTATAAAATGTAATAAGGGTGACATGGGGAAATTAGAACACTCATGCATTACTTGTGAGAATGTAAAATGGTGCACCTACTTTGGAAAATTTTAGTGGTTCCTCGTCAAGATAAACACAGAATTACCCTACGATCCAGCAATTCCACTTCCAGGTAGTAAAAGGGTCAAAAATAGGGACTCAAACAGATACTTGCATATCGATGTTTATAACAGCATTATCATAATAATCAGAGGTAGAAACAGCCCAAATGTTCAACAGGTGAATAATTTTTTAAAAAGCAGTGTGTGTGTATGTGTATATGTATGTATGCATGCATGCGTGTGTGTGTGTGTGTGTGTGTGTGTGTGTGTGTGTGTGTGTGTAATGGATTATTATTCAGCCGTAAAAAGAAATGAGATTCTATGAATGTGCCAATTCTTAGAGAAAGTAGGTTACTCCAGGGGCTGGAGGTAGCGGGGAAGAGGGAGTTATTGTTTAATGGGTACAGAGTTTCTGTTTCTGTTAGAAATGATGTAAAAGTTCTGGAAACGATAGTGGCAATTGTTGCACCACATTGTAAATATACTTAATGCCACTGAATTGTACACTTACAAATGGTTAAAATGGTAAATCTTGTTATGTATATTTTATCAGAATTTTTTAAAAAAAGGAATAAAGTAATAATATATACTACAATATGGATGAACCTCAAAAACACTATGCTAAATAAAAGAAGACGGTCACAAAAGACCACATATTGTATGATTCCATTTATAAGAAATGTCCAAAATAGGCAAATCTATAGAGACAGAAAGTAGAATTGGTTTCCAGGGACTGCGAGGTAAGAGGGTTTGGGGGTTGACTGCTAATGAGTATGGAGTTTCCTTTTGGGGTGATGAATATGTTCTGAAAGTAGAGAGAAGTGATGGTTGTACACCTTTGTGAATATTCTAAAAACCAGCAAACTGTACATGTTAAGTGGTGAATTGTACAGTATGTAAACTATGTCTTAATAAAGCTGTTACCAAAAAATGTAATAAAAGTAACCATTCTAAAATTTAAAATATTGGCATGAATTCTATCATCGATTTTTATATTGTGCAATACCAATCTTAAATACAAATCTATGAATCAGATATTGAAACACTGATATTTTGTAGCTTGTCTGTGTGTGTGTATTTCTTACCAGAACAGTGGAAACGTTGCACAAAACTATTTTTATTTTACTTTTTGATATGCACACATTTCACCAACACTCTCTACTTTCAGCTTACTGATGAATAAGGAAGACTGAAAGAAAAGAAACTAAGGGTTGCCCTAACTTTCTCTTTCCTCCTATATCATCATTTTCAGTATAAGTGGTTGGTAAATACACAGAAGTAACTAAGAAAGAAAAGATATGATAGAGTTCCTTGGCTATTTGTGTTTCTTAGAATGCCACTGTCTTTCTTCTATATTAAAAGCAAGTCTGGTCTGAATGGAAAGGATGGCCTCTTGGGCCTATTCGCTCCCCCTGTTACCCAGCTGAAGATGTTTTGATATGCATAGAGTACTGAATTGCAGTGTACTCACGATGCATGGTAGTGTGGCAAGAATTGAACTGATTATAAATTATGTTACAGAAGCTACATAGTGATTGCAAATGCTGTATGAAATAAGGGCAGAAACGCATGGTGGACACATGTATGAATGTATCTCCTCTGCTCACATGCAAGCTCCACTGTCTTATTGGACTTCCTTACAAAAGTTCAAAGATAAAATTATTAAAAGTCTGAAGATGGTGACAATAGAGTTTTAACCAAGTGCCAGGCTCTTCTAAGGGGAAGAGGGCCTCTGTGCAACTATACTTGTTCTACCATCATGAAGCAGGTCCTACTAGTATGTGAGTGTCGGTATCTCATTGTGGTTATTTTCATTTCACTGATATCCAACTAATAATATTGAACATTCTTTCATGTGCTTCTTAGTCATTGTATATTTTCTCTTGCAAAGTCATTATTTAAGTCTTTTGCCCATTTTTTTGCTGGGTTGTTTTTTAAATTATTGACTTGTAGGAAATGTTTCTATGTTTTAGGTATATATTCTATGTCAGATACATGTATTGCAATTATTTTCTATTTATTTGCTTACCTATTCACTTTTTAAATGGGTCTTTTTGATGTGTCTAACTTTTTAGTTTTGAAAAAGTCCAATTTATCAGTTATTTTCTGTTTATTGCTTTCTGGGTTCTAAGAAATTTTTGTCTACCCTAACTCATAAAGATATTCTCCTATATTGTCCTCTAAAGCTTTATAGTTTTCATTTTTAAATTTATATTATGATCTATCTTTAACTATTATGTATAGTTGAGGTTTAATTTTTTTTTCCATATACATAGCAAGATGTTCCACCATCATTTGTTGAAAACACTTTCCTTTCCCGTTTACTTGCTTTGGTGCTGTGGTCAAAAATCAATGGACCGTATTAGTGTTTCTATATTT